TTAGGGCTTTGAGGGTTCAGGGTTTGGGAATCTCGAACAGCGTTCCCCAAACAAAGCGCCACAGTCTCACAGTCTCATAACGGATTTGGATTTGCAGCGGTCATCGAATTCGAAGGGAGTTGTGCGGACTTCTGGGACGTTTTGATTCACTCGGTTCATTAGATTTCAAGGCAGGGAGAACAAATGACGATCTGTATATCCGGCTTCAAACACCAAGCCCCCACGGCCTGATTGATTACAATGCCGTCGCCAGCAATCAATTACAAACCAGCGCAAACTGATGCTTGCTGTTAATTTTCGACTGTCGTGAACTTCTTCTGACAGCAACGCTTGTTTTGGCTACCATCACTGCTCGCGGCGTTTATGCTTCCGCTGCCACTGCTGCTGCTGCTGCTGCTACTGACGATGCCGATGAAGGCGATGACAATGACGATGCTAATGATGATGATGATGATGGTGGTGATGACGATGATGATGGCGATGATGACTATGATGATGATGATGATGATGATGATGAGTAATTTTGATGATGATGATGATGATTACGATTATGATTATGATTATGGTGATGATAATTGTGATTATGATTATGATGATGGTGATGGTGATGATGATCATGATGATGATGATGATGATGACGCTCCCGCTGAGGATGAGAATGCTGCTGATGTTGGGGACGGTGGTAGTGTCTGCAATTCGTTGATGCTGTTCATCGTTGTTGTTTGCATTCTTTGCCCCACTCCTCTACAACTGTACTCCTCATCTTGCTGACCAAGACGAGCACTATCGGCAGCAGTAAAAGCAGGCAGCTGAAGCAGTAACAGGAGCAAGATATGTCCGATCGAAAGAAGGGTTCCATCTCATGAGGCCCTATTGGTAAAGCAGTTGGTGACAACAAGAGCGAACCTGAGAGCTGTGTTGTTGACGACAGACAATGTTGTAGGCATCCCTTTGTCTTGCGTGTTGGAGGCCCGAATCGGGTGAACTTGAGGCCGCGACGGTCAATGGCTTCAAACCTAAGCTATGCACGTCATGTTGCAGTTGCGAAACCGAGCCCTTCATCCATGCTCAGTGCAGCCAAGGCACAGCTCACGCATATCTCGCTCGTACTCCTGTAGGTGGCTGGTGAAACTCCCAGAGCCGTAGGCGTCAACATTAAGTTGAGGTGCCATGCATCTTGCAAGCTTCACGTCATGTTGCTGCGCTCTCTAGGTCCTCTGGAGATGGCGTTGGTGTCATGGCTATCCTGGTTTCGGTCAACATGTTCTTGCCGAAAATGCAGACTGCATCAACACCCACGCCGGCCGCACACTTGTGCGACGATGATCATGAACTCCTCGAAATCAAGATCGCCACTCCCATCGGAATCTGCCTAATTCGCAGATGGGGCTCAGGGCAAAACCCGAACTTACATGGCACACAAGCGAGCACTGCAGACGTCTTCTGCAACCTGCCTGCTTGATGATGGCGTGGAGATCAGACTGGAACAATGCCAGAGCTTCTTGGAAACAGCACACAAGGAGGCACGTAGCGGCTGAGCCTTCGATGGGTTTAAACCGACTGCGCGGACCAGGTTGCCAATGTTCTTCCGTGTCAGCGCCTTTGCAAAATGGACACTGGAGCAGTCTGCGCTTCGACTGTACGGTCTGGCCTGGACCACCCGATTTTCTTCAGTAAGCTTTGGGGCATGTCCGGTGCATGCCCGCATGCCTAGACACTCAACAATATACCCGTCCAGCATTTCAAAACGCATACGAAAGCGTATTGCGCAATGACCAGGACGGCAACTGCCACTGAAACTGCTACTGCCCTCGCTACTGCTGTCAGTGTTTTGCTACTGCCGTTGCCACTAACTGCCGCCCCACCACCACCACCACCACCACCACCACCACCACTGCTACTGCTACTAACTACGACGACGACAACGACGACGACTGCACTACTGCTACTACTACTACTACTACTACTACTACTTCTACTTCTACTACTACTACTACTACTACTACTGCTACTACTATACTAATTACTACTACCACCACCACTACTACCATTACTACCACTACTACCACTACTGCCACTACCACTACCGCTACCACTACGACTAGGACTACGACTAGGACTACTACTACTACGACGACGACTACTACTACTATTACTACGAGCATTCCGACTACTACGACAACTACTGCAACTCTTGGTGCTGTCTCTGGGCAAATTTTGCGCGGACTTTTGTGCCGGCTGTGCACGCGAACTTGCACGCGGATTTTGAGGGAGATAGCTTCAGAAAATCCGCTGCGAAATCCACGAGAAAATTCGCGAGCAACTCCACAAGACAACCCGGCAGGGCCATGCAAAGAAATCCGCGAACAATTCGTTGCCCATACAGCCAAACCTAACGACTACGACGACTAAGACTAAGACGACTAAAGACCACCACCGCCGCGACCACGACCAGACTACTGCTGCTGCTGCTACTACTACTAGACACCTTTGTCTACTACTACTACTACTGCTACTACTACTACTACTACTGCTACTACTACTACTGCGACACACTGTGACTACTACTATGTATCTTGTTTGGCTTTAGGTGACGGCGCACCGCCTCGGCGTAGACCCTACTTGTGCTCTCTCTCTCTCTCTCACGGAGCTCTGCAGCTGAGAGTTTGGATTTAGGGGTGTAGTGTTTCGGCAGAATATCGGCAGATGCCTCACCTCTGCCAGTCTAGCAGTCTAGTCTGTGGGTGCAGCTCGACTTGCGTTGGACTTCGAGAACACGCTCGAACCACAGTGCAAAACCAACAGCCAATCCACTTTGTGCCAATTGATTTTCGGTTCTTAGCGGGGGCTGACCACCCCCTCTTGGACTTGAAGCAGAACTTTCTGTATTAGCGCCTTTGGCATTGATCAGGCAGTCATTTCGAGGAGAAGAAAGCTTGGGCAGGAGCTGACGCAAACTTCAGGATAGCATACTGTCCACTGGGGCCGCAGCACCGTCAAGGTCTTCCATGTATTCGTCGAAGACCTGACTGACAAGCACAACAATGTATCGATCACCATGACAACTACAACTACCACCACCACTGCTACTGCTAGTGCTAGTGCTACTGCTCACGCTACTACAGTAGTACTACGACTGCGACTACTACGACGACGACTACTGCGACTATGACAAACCCTATGACACAGACTACGACTAGGACTAGGACCACGACTACGACTACAACTACGGCTACGTCTACAACTACGGCTAGGAGTACGACGACTACTGCTGCTACTGCTCTGCTCCTACTTCCTACTCCTACTCCTACCGCGAGCTTCCGGTCACAAGGCTTCGGATGCTTCAGGTTGGTCTCTAGGAATGGGTGATGTAACATCAACCAAATGCACATAACTTCCTCCCACACCCTCCACCATCATAACTAATATATTATATGTGTTAACGATTATATATCATATACTACATATTATATATTGTAACACAGCAGTTTTGCATCATTAGTATTACCGGCCTGCTTGAACTCCAGGACCTGGTCGGTGGTCAGGTTCAGTTCCTCAAAACACGAGGAGAGCAACAAGTACTACTATTACTATAATTTACTATTATCATTACTACTGCTACTAGTCTACTCTTGCTATTCCTGCTGCTGCCACTATTATTACTACTACTACTACTGCTACTACTACTACTACTACTACTACTACTACTCCTACAACCACTAAACCCAAAAGACCTAAATCCTGAACCCCTACGGACACCCAAGCCCCGAACTTCCAGTCTTCAGCTTCCGCCGAGCTTCCGTTGCATAGTATGATACCTCCTGCTCTGACAGCGGCTCGGGATTCCACGACATACCGGCGGAGGCCTAAGGTTTAGGGCCTGGGGGTTTAGGGTTTAGGGTTTAAGGTTCTGGGGTTGCATAGCTTAGAAGGATTGGCTGCAACAGGAGTAGGCCCATCGCTGCTATTCGCAGCAGTGGCAACACCAGCCGTCGTCGTTGCTGTTGTTACTGCTCTAGCTGTTGCTGTCGTTCCTGCTGCTGCCAGACGAGAAGTGGCTGAACAGAAAACAAGCACATGGACCAAGTATCCTGAGCCCCAAGGCCCAGAATGCTGCAGCAAGCTTCGAGCCAAGCACACATCCAGAACTGCATCTGGGAGTTTCAGAAAATTAGGGTACCTTATTTTGGGGTCCTTATAATAGGGATCCCATTATTTAGGGTGCTATATTAGGGTCCCCTATTTTCGGAAACCCCCATCTGACCTTCAGGGCAGGGATCCTCAAGGTCAAGGCACGGTCCTGGCAGCAAAATGTGGGGGTTTCCTAAAATAGGGAACCCTAGTATAGTACCCTAAATAATAGGATCCTTATTATAAGGACCATAGGGGACCCTAATATAGTACCCTAAATAATAGGATCCTTTTTATAAGGACCCCCAAAATAGGGTACCCTAATTTTCGGAAACTCCCATGTGGAACAGCCGGAGCAAGTCAAGGCATCGAGCCTTCAACTTTTTCGAACCCTGTGGTGTCGAGTGCATACCGCACAGGGGAATACATAACGAAGCCCGGAGACTTAGGCTATCAGGGCAGCATAAAGGGAATCATAATAGTAATATTAATAATAACAAAAATTAAGAATAAAATAAGAATAATCATGATAATAACAATAATCATAATACTAATAATTATTATTATTATTATTATTATTATATTATTATTATTATTATAGGGGCTCCTGTAAAGAGATCCGGAAGGATTCCCTCTAAGGCCTCCAACAGCCCAGTCCATCGAGCTCCCCGCGTTCAGAGCGCACTGGCACTGCAAAGAATCGAGGAACGTCCGATGCTTCTCATGTCAATTACATACACATGTGCATACATACATACCTTATACATGCAATATAGACATGTATATATGTGTATATATATATATATACACATAGGTGTGTATATATATATATATACATATGTATATATGTTAGATCCACTCTGTTGAGGTCAGACTTGCGCAGTGAAGGCTCGGATTCCTACGTTGCCGTCGGCGTTGCAGATCAAGGCGCCGGCCGCAGATGCATTATCAGTTGCAGGCTTCGCAGCCGCAGAGACGTAGAGGGGAAGGGTTTAGGGTTTAGGGTTTAGGGTTTATGTAGGAACCTGATTAAGCAACCCTGGCCCTATAACACCAAGATATTAGGATTCATATTAAGAGCCCCAAATAAAGGCCCAGGGTCTCTTAATCAGGCTCCTACATCAGCAAGTAGGGTTCCTAACCCATCCAAACCGCCAGTCACTTGTCGGACAGTGCAAACGGCTCCTCTTCCACCTCCTCAGGGCGAGCAGGAAGATTGGCCTGCTCTCCTTGCCCTCTACGAGCCCATCATGGGAGCTAGGATTAGGGGGA